GGCTGGCTAGCTCAAGTGGTATGTCACCCCTGCTGCAAACAGGCAGCCTGGGTTCTTCTCCAAGCTGGGGGAATTAGCTGCCAGTGTATGTACTTAGGCTAGACCCTTCATGCTAATGCCTGCTTTGGGGGGTGGTGGCCTACTGGTTAGGGCATAGAGCTTGGAATCCAGAGGTTCTGAGTTCAAGCCCCACTCCCACAGACTGCCACTCTGGGTCCCTGAGCAAGACCCTTAAGCCCAAACTGCTCCCAAGGTGCCGCACAATGGCAGCCCACTGCTCCCCAAGGGGATGGGTTAAATGCAGAGAGTTCATTCCGTTGCTCTGTACTAGTGACAGTGTAATGACAGTAAAACGCTGAAGAAAACAAAGAAATGAAAAAGGATATTGGAGGCAGTTGGTCTTTGACATTTTGCACTCTCTGCCTTATTAGTGTCCATACTGACATCAGAGATTTGGTGAATGTATCATTCTCTTGCACAGTGGTCAAGAGTGTGTTCTTTTTTGTGTACCTGGAAGCGATGATGTTTGCCTAGTTCTGCGACTGCCTACCAACATGGTTTGTAGAACCAGTCTATTTCAGATTTGTAGGAACTACAGCCGGTGTCGTTCTCTCTGCTCCGATTGCTTGGTTTTCTCTAATGTGCTTCAGTTTATCTCCACTCTGATTGGCTGTCTGTCTGTCACTGTTAGGTCAGTTTGGGCTCCAGAACCAACGGGTTTGGATATGAGCTGTTCCAGGTGTCGGAGGAGCGAGACGAGGAGGTGGCAGCGTTCTGTCACATGCTGGATGTGTGAGTAACTCAGTGGATAGACTTAGCAGACACCATCATTACGATCGTGTCTCGGTTTATTTAACCAGGAAGTAACACATGGGTTCTGTTTACCAAAAGAGGTGGAGGAGGTCTAGAGCTCCTGATCTAACCTGCATGTTTACACATAAAGATGATGTAATAATGCTACTCAGACCTTGCTGTGATCAGAGTCTAAGCTGGACTTCATCTAGGCTCAGTTCTACAACTGTAACATATGCAGGGTCAAGGTCATAGAAACGGAAAACACTTGTATTGCATACCTATATGAGGTAGAATGGTCTTGCTGGATTAGAATGCCAAGTGATAAAATGGAATAATGAAAATGGGGACTGGTTTGAGCAGATATGAGAAAATAATGGTGCAGAAAGCTCACCTGGATCTCATTGATGCAGTTTCTCCTCCATTTTCTTTCCAATAACCTAATCCAATGTCCCACTGGACTGCTAGCCCAGCCAGGGTTTTCCATGGAGTTCAGTTTTTGCTTATATAGGTCGTTCTTAGTCATTTTCTTCCATAATACTTAGAAAGAATGTTACCATCTCTGTGGTCCCTTCCATTCAGTCCATGTTTACCATGTCATACCCAAAGGTGAAACTCCTCATATAAATGAAAATGTTGCACTCCTTTCACTTGCGTTGCATTAGCTGCTGCATCACTACATTTGAACAGCAGATAGAGGACAGCTAAACGAAGTTTTTCTCCGCCAAAACCAGTCCGAAATGTTGGGATTACTCTGAACTCTGAGGACTAATGGCTTGTCCTGATGGGGTGAACCCCATTTTTAATGTTAGTGTGTCTTTTTGGAGTTATGGTTTGAATAAATTTTAGGTAAGGTTTGGAGAAATCAGGAATATGCATAAATGTAACTAAATATTATGTCACTCAATTTAAATTCCTAATACGGGTGGAATTACAGACTTTTTGTTTGGGTTTGCCTTGTTGGGTGTATCCAGCCTCCGGTCAGCGTATCCATGCAGCGACCCCTCGAAGAACTCTGGCTTTGTCTGGTCTCCCTCTGTCGGGCATGGTGAGCTGCACCAGGCTCTAGGAGTGGGAGTGAAGGTGACAGTGGTCAGCGAAGACTTCAGGGAACCTCTGACCTTCACCTGTGATGGTAAGACGATGCTCAGTTCCGTTTTACTAATTGCACCAGAACTGGAAGGTTATTAAGCAACAGGGAGGATGTGTTTTTTTAAGGGGGGTATTCTGATAGTGTGTTTCATCTCCTGATTCTCCTGGCTGTTAAAGTAAAATGTGCCAGTGAAAAAGGGATTTTTTAAATAACATTTTAATTGCAATCCCTGTTCAGTAGAAACTTGAACACAGTGTAATTTCCATGCCAGGCCTCTAGAGGCACTATGTTAACCTATGTACCAATAACATTTATCTTGACATCAGTCTAACCAATCCTTAATATATGTGCTGATTGTTTTAGGATGATTCTCTTGGTCAATAATTTTCTCTTTCTTCATTTACATGTTAAAAATTATAAGATGAAATTAATCATAGTTGGTCCTCAGATGTAAACAGCTTCTTCATTGGTCATTTTGTTAACGAAGTGTGGCGGTCTACCCAGTGAGAGAGATAAGCTGCTTTCCAGTGTGCTCAGAGACCAGAGGGTCACAGAAAAAGTAAATGAAATGAAAAAAAACAATTTCAAAAAGGATTTGGAAATTCCATATCCCCAATCAGTATTCTCATTGAATGATCACGCATCTGTGTCCTTCAATTAATTTATAACAGAAATAAGTCCTGGTAAATGTTTTATTCAGTGCTTTTCAGAAATCAACGGGGAAAAAAAAATATGTTGGACCCCAAATTATGTAGATCTTGGTTTAGGCTACAACAGTGAGAGAGTAAGGAAGAAAACTCTTAATAGTTAGTGATTGCCTATGGTTCTCATAGTGGATACGTTATTATATAATCTTGTACATTGTTGTATTTAAATTACAAAAGATAATATCCAATTCAGTCCACTTTATTTATATAGCACGATTACAATAAACACAAGGTTTCCAAAGTGCTGCACAAAAACGATAAAATAACTAAAATAAATAAAAGTAAATAAAATCAAATAAAAGCACTGCCCACAGAGGATAAAATATGCATGTGTATACATAAAATCAACATGTGTATACCGGTACATAAAATCAACACTCTACATGGTGTCAAAAGCCAAAGAAAAGAGGTGGGTTTTAAGAAAAGTTTTAAAATGAGACAGAGAGGTGGCCAGTCTAATGTGCAGCGGCAATCCATTCCAAAGTTTTGGAGCTGCAACAGAAAACGCTCGATCCCCTCTGAGCTTAAGCCTTGCTTTAGGCACTGTCAGGAGCAGCTGATCAGCTGATCTGAGAGAATATGACATTTTTCTTTCATGTTTATAAGAAAACACCGTCAATGTCACAACAGATCAATCTGCAATTTGCATCTACTCTGTTTTAAGTTATTATTCTGTAATTGATACATGATATACTTCTAAGGAAAACCAGTTGATTGCATCGATTCATTGACTCAAATGCAATCCTTTACACTAAGCATGCTTGTGGTGACAGTGGAGAGGAACAACTCCCTTTTAACAGTAAGAAACCTGCAGCAGAACCACTATTCAGATGGAAGCTTATGTGGTCCATCACTAGAGGAAGCTGCATTTTCATTGGCTCATCAATAGACATACTGTAAGTCATAGCAGCTAAAGTCAAAGTGAGAGTCATTTTAAACGTCTGAAACCATCAGATAATCATCTCTCATTCTGTTTGGTCGATGGCAATAACCAGATCCTTAAACCTGCTTCATTGCGTGAGCTTATTTTTTCAGTAAGGCGCCTGCTGCTTCAGTTTTGACGCTTGTCCACATTAAGGTCAAACGCACCTCAAGAGCGTCTCTGATGTTCCTGAAGCGCGTCCTGTAAAGTGTGTCCAGATGCGTCTGATGCTTCTGCTGCTCCTGTGTTCAATGGCAGAGGGCGGCTTTGCTATATTTGCTGTGATCAGTGAGTGAAAATTAGTTTTAATATATTTTTTTGCGAGGAAGTCCACCTCAAAACTTTGTTTGTGCAGTCAGCCTATCAAGATTACGATCCCGCCTTGATATATTATTTTGCTGTCATAGCTGTACAGACCCCCTCATACCAGTGGTGCTCTGTCACTGGGAATCCCCAGCAGCAGCTGCCTCTGGCCAGGTCATCTTTTGGGGGTTCTCCCCTACTTGCGGATGGAAGTAGATATTAGCGTTTTTTTGGTTTGTGTTACAAACTGCACGCACCAGAATAATAAAAGTAAACATATTTTCCCAGCAGGTTTCAACATTTTTTGTTAATTTATGCGTTAATAAGGGGAATGATCATCTGCAGCGCTGTGTCTGTCTCCCTGCTGGTGTAAGATCAGCTTCTCTGATTGGTTGATGTGGCGCTTCGATTAGCAAAAGTTAGATTTTTCCAACTCCAGCAGCTGCATGACCTTTTGGTGCCTCTTGATATGTGTCAACAATTGTCTTTGCATGTAAAACGGCTGCTTATGCTGCCCAAAGGAGGTCCGATGTGAACGTAGCATAAGCCTCAACCAAAGATTTCTCCATAATACTGCTGCAGTCATCTTCCTTTGACCAGATATGAAAAAGATTAGATGTTCGTATTCAAAAGACAATAGAAACCATGCATTTTTGAACCGTTAAACTCTGGAACCTTTTTTCTAACTGTGCTGTTGTCACAGAAACTCCTCCAGACTCATCAGGTAAAGAAACGGGTCACCATGGTAACGAGCTGAGTTGCAGATCTGTTTCTTTAGTTTGAAAAATAAGGTTTACACCTTCTCTTTGTTTTCTTGGTTATGTAGTATGTTTGCATAATGTCCCGTTTTGATTCTGATCATCTGTATTATGGTTCTGTTCCTGTCTGGGTTCTGTAGAACAGTCTGAGCATAACTGGATCCCCTTTGTGTCCCAGGTTCGTCCACAGTGGACCTGCTGATCTATCAGACACTCTGCTTCACCCAGGACCACCTGGACCACCTGGATGTGGACGACTACCTGCTGAAAGTTTGTGGACAGGAGGAGTTCCTCAGCAAGTAAGTACCCAACGTCTACTGCTAGTTCTTTTGGTGCAGCGGTCCCTCGTGTTTAAGTTCAACACCAGCTGCTGCGAAACGAGAACCCTTTCAAGGTTCTGGTTCTGTGGATCATCTTAAAGCTGTATGGACTGACTCTGTCAGTCTTCACAGCCAGATATCTCTGTTGTTCAGACTAGTGGAACATCTGGCCCCAGATTATCAGAACAGCAACTTGTGGAGCTTGAAGAAGGTGGAACCATCTGGATGGAGACAGACCGGATGGTTCTAATCATACTGGGTTAATAGAGTATATTGTAGGCGGAGTTTTCCTCCAGCAGAACAGCTGCTTCCAGACGATGTTCCAGCTGTGGGCCTCTGGTCCTGGTCCACTCAGAGCTGCTTCATGAAATATCTGCAGATGTCCTCACACACTGCTGTATGTCTGCGTGTGTGGGTGGAAGTGTGTGTGTGAGAGATATGAGCAGCTGCGTCAGTGGCTGAACTTCCTGTGCTGAAACAATAACCAACGCATTGTTATTGTTCTACTTTACTGAATCTAGGTCAATTTCCCTTCAAACCTGCATCAAATTTTCTGAAGATGTGGATTAGGTCCCTGTTCATCTGGATTAGGATGCCTAAATATCTATGAATCAGATTCCCTGTTTACCTGGATGAAGTTTTCATTAGATCTGTATCAGTGCTTCTGTGGAACTGAAAACTTGACCATGTGCTTTGTTTTGGAAACCTCAGGCCAAACATTTAAGTGTATCTTGATCCAAACAGTTGTTCTGAAACTCCTAAAACTGTTCCTGCAAGTATTTCCTGATGGCTGTGGAATTCCTGCCACCAAGTGAAGTCTGTTAACAACCTCTAATGTCCACAGGGCTTTACCAGGTTTTTTATAACTCTTAACTGGTCCTGAGGGCTCGCCGTCCTTCATGTGTTTGATGCCTCTAATCAAGCACTCCTGATTGAAATGATTACTTTGATTTGCCTCCTCGGCAGCCATCAAATGCTGCAAAAGCTTCATCACCTTTTCATTCAGCTCAGGTGTGTGGAAGCAGGAAAATACCTAAAACATTTAGTTTTAGGGCCCTGAGAACCAGGGTTAAGAAGTTCTGGCCTATAACTCCAGACTTCATGGACCTGTTGGAACACTTTGAGCTGCAGACTATCAGAAGAGCAGAAGGAACTGGAAGAACGAGATCAGAGTAAATTTCAGAACAAACTGTTTACTGTAAACCATGTTTTTTTTTCTCCCACACTGTTTACATTTGATCACTCCTGCATTTTATGAAACGGAAATATTCGTTTCACTGCTAAGCTGATGCTCATTTACTGTCTGAAAGCAAAATGTGACTTTGTCTGGTTTACACTCTGTGTGTATAAAATGACAATAAAAGTTGTCTAAGTCTAACAAACCACCTGTCCTTTGTCCCTCTGTCCATCAGCTCGCAGACTCTGGCCGGGCTGGAGTTTGTACAACAGTGTCTAAAGTTCGACTGGGACATCCGGCTGTTTCTCACCAAGAGATCGATGGTCAACACAGAGCTGGCCCGCACGGTACGCACACACACCCACACACACATCCATTTCATTTTCCATTCTTTTTTTTATTAATTTCTAAACTTGAACTAAATTGACTTTGAATCTTAGCCATAAAGCTCTAACCCAGGAACAGCATAGTGGGAAAATTAGTGAGGAGGACCAGAAAAATGGCCTACGTTTTCAAAAATGACCTCCATGTTGGTAAAAAAAAAAAAAAAATCCACACAGTGCCGGCAGCATCTACAAGAACCCACACACACAAACAAATGGTTCATTTCAGTCCCAGAGGAAACAAACACACCCAGTAATGTCACAGGAACCTCAGTGGTGTTTAATAAACACTTTCCAGTGGAACGGACCAATCCTCACATCAAGGTTGCTTAATTTGAAATAAATTCATTTTAGATAAGAACACTGCCCCCTGCAGGAGATCTTCAGGAACTGAGAAAACATGCAGGATTATGTCAGCTGCAAACCTAGGCTGAATTCCAAACTGGCCCCTAAACACTAACCCTAAGCAATAACCCTCTGTTTGCACGTTCCGACGGAGGGTCTGCCACATAAAGGGCCATCCCTAACCAGGTAGTGGGTAGGGCGAGTGGAGTGTTCAGCCCTTAAATGGAGAGTCTGCATCAGTTGCACACTTGCTGGAATTTGGCAGCAGGTGTAACAGTGAACTAATGGAAGAGGAAAGATATGCATTCAGATTTACTTCCCCTGATTTGCTGCATCTTCATTACATAGAAAATTACAAGTTAGAGATTAATTCTGTCTTTTTTTATTTTCCTAAATGGAAAGTTCTCTTGGAAATATTTTTTTTTAATGGATAGATTTATTTTGCTGTAAATGGCAAATGTTTGATGAGCCCAAGGCCATGCATATGCAGCATCACTGTGTTCTCATAGGAATGAATCCAGGCACCTTGAACAGCTGTGAGGTTGACTTTATTGCAAATTACACTTGATAGTGAAGGGTTAGTGGTTAGGGGGCAGTTTGGGATTCAGCCTTAAAGATCTAAAATCCATTGGAACCAGGAAGTGAATTCCCGGCCATTTGATACAGAGACAATCAGAGGCAAAGATTTATTTTTTGGTTGTGGATGGAGCAGAATGCTGTTCCGATCACAACCGACTGCTGCTTTAGTTCCCTGAGCGAGACTCTGAGATCCAGATTGGTTCCCCGGCTCTGTAAGCAGCTTGCTGCTCTCTGAGCCCAGTGGGTTAGACACAAAAGACTAATTAAGTTGGAATGTATAATTACAATAAAGTTTATTTAGATTATTCTCTGCAGAAGGAAGATGATGACTCCCCGTCCTCCATGAATCACTGCATCCTGCTGCAGGAGCGTCCAATTAAACAGACCGTCACCAGGTGAGGAGCTGGGATTCCACAGAGCTCTGATTGGTTGATTTTAGAGCGGGGCTAACAAGTGTCTCCATGTGTTTGATCAGGGAGGCTCTGACATTGCTGCTTGACACGTTTCACAATGAGGCCGAGTCCTTTCTGCTGTCAGAGGTAACCTGCACGCTCTCTCTTTCTCACACTCACACACACACTCGCCGCCTTCATCGCGTCCCTTTCTGCAGGCGGAGTTGCTGCTGCACGTGGAGCGCCTCGTCCAATCAGTGAAAGCCCTTTGCAGCTCATTAGCTGCCGTGGAAACTCCGGATGTGACGGCAGCCTTGAACCAGCTCCCTGCGTGTCCCTGTCGTCTGCAGCCAAAAGTTCTGAAGGTGAGAGATTCAGAGGTTCTGAAAGAGCTGCAGAAGATGCTCCAAATCTAACCTATTTATGTTTCCCAGGATGCATCAGTGCTGTCACTCAGAGAGAACAGAGGTATGAGCAGAAACTACTGCCAAGCTCCTGCAGCAGAACTTATCACTGGATACTTAGATGTACTTAATTCGTCCTCTCCTTATGCAGAATCGGTGGTGGAGAAGATCACAGCAGCCATCTTGGACCTGGTGGAGCTGTACTGCAGCACATTTAACGCCAACTTCCACACCACACAGCAGAGTCAGAGCTGCACGGCACCGGTGCAGGAGGCCGGGCTGGTCACCAACGTGCTCTCCTTCAATGTGTACGCCGCCCACCGGGTCCCCATCACCTGGGCCACCAGGTACAGGGTGATTCTGACCCAGCAGGAACGATTCTGTGTCTCTGGTCACTGACGTTTGACCCAGCTGCTAACATCTGGCTACTTTAAAGGACCAAAGTTCAGTTTCAGTTCTGATGTGGGTCCAGATTTTTTTCATCTCTGGCTCTGATGCAGGATCACATGCTCACTGCATGACCAGCATTAACCAGTGTGTTTTGGGTTGGATCCCCAGATGGGTCAGAACCAGAGATGAAATCTGCAGGTCCATGGAGACAGGGTTTTACTGGGTTTAAACATCCAGGAAAAAAAAAAATGATTACAGTTTTTTTCCCTGAAGAGACCAGCTGTCCCTTTAGTTCTTGCAATGTAGGACGTTCAAATCTTTATTTAGATTTTTTGTTTTTTAAATATTGCTTTTTTGTAACGGTAACTTTGGTTATGTTGTTGCAGCACTGACCACACCCATTATCAAATGTCTATCCAGTGAGGTCACATTTACCAAACTGTGTGTGACATCATGTGATCATGCAACAGTATCACCTTTGACTTGAAGCAGATTTTATTTTGAAATTTTTTCAATTGTTGTTGTTTTTTCCATGATAAGGGATTTTAATTTTAGGTAAAGTGAAATCAACAGTTTCAAACCAGAAATAATTTTCATTTGGAACAAGTGAAAATTTGAATGTAACTACATTACATGGATATTTTACTTCTTTCAGTTCAGAGCCTCAGATGGCTCTCAGGTTGTGCAGCTCATTTAGTATATCAAGTGACAAACTTGACCTCTTTTCTGGGCCCCCATTCAAAAATACTGTCCCAACCCTGGCCCCCTTGGTTGAATTGTTTTGAAACCGCCACTGAGCGGCTCTTTGGAGAGCCCTGACATAAAGTGATAGATAAAGTGAACTCATGACCTCACAACAACATTATATGTGTTTTCTGCTCTCTCATTGGTCAGTTATGAAGGTTTCTTCCTGTCCTGCTCTCTGACTCATGGAGGGATGGAGCTCTGTGCGCCGCAGCACACCAGCAAACAGGGTGTCAGTAAATATCTGTTCCACCTGGTGGTGTGGGATCAGAGGTATGTACCTGAGATGTTACGTCACAGCCTCACCTGTCTGACGGGGTTAAAGGCTGAACTAGTCCAGATTCTATTGATTTATTCTATTGATTTATATATATATATATATATCCTGTCTGACGGGGTTAAAGGCTGAACTAGTCCAGATTCTATTGATTTATTAGATGTTATTTGTTTCACAAGTTTCAGTTTCTTTATGTTAATAATAGATATTCTTATTTACCATATGTATTCCTAAAACTTCCAGGTTACCTGTGGACAGAGATGGGAAGTAACGAAGTACAAATACTTTGTTACTGTACTCAAGTAGATTTTTCTGATATTTTTACTTTACTACTTATTTTTATGGCGACTTTTTACTTCTACTCCTTACATTTTTACACAAATATCTGTACTTTCTACTCCTTACAT